AGCTGGGTGCTGGCAGGCTTGCACCTGGCACGGGCACCGTAGCCAGCCCGTGCCCCTTTAATGGGTCTGGGGCCGGGAGGGGGGCAATAGAGTTTCCCTGGTGTTGGCCAGAGTGGCCACCAGGGAAACCTGGGGAGGGCTAGCCTCCCACTAGTTTGAATTAAGGGGCTACACACCCCTTAATTCGAACTAGCTAGTTCAACTAGGCTTAATCCTCGTAAAATGAGGATTACCTAGTTCAAACTAAGAGCTCCGCTAGTTCGAATTAAGTTCGAACTAGCGGAGTGCTAGTGTAGCGCCTATGAAAGTTGGTTTGAACTAATGTCCGTTAGTTTGAACTAACTCTGTAGTGTAGACATACCCTAAGGGGGCCAGAGGGGAATGTGAGGAATAGTATCCAGGGAAAGGTAAAAGGGGAAAAAACATGGAAGTTTGTGAATGTAAAGGATGGGCTAGGAACAAAGCAGGGGGAACATAGAAGAAGAATTCAGTGTGGCAGAAGAGTAGGTGGGAAAGGGAGAGATGAATGACAGTGATGAGGGAGAAGGAAAGGAAAGGGAATACAGCTCCCACCTCTCTTGGCTTAGTAGAGGGTTAATGGATCCCCCATGCAGCAGTTACAAAAAAGGCCCAACATCTGTGTGTGTTATTTTGGTTGAATCTGAAATGCTCTTGTATAATTCGAAGGAAGAAAGCCTCCTCTTAAAAGACACTGAAAACCTAGAGCTAATATAAAAAATAAAACACCTATCATTTTTATAATCTTCATAATTTTAAAATAATCTTGTACTTTGAAGTCTGACAAGAAATTTGAATGCTTGAGGCTAACAATGCTGCCAACAGTTATAAAGCTAACGAGCAACATGCAGGCTCTCTGAATTTCCATTCCCTGGACTCGAAAACATACGTTCTGATAATTTCTCTAAGCTTGAAGTATTACATTATACCCTTATTCTGGCCAGGCCAAAGGCTCCTGCACAACACCAGTCCCCCTATACCCATCTCTACCTACACATTACTCCTCCATCTGACCTGGAAGGATGGGCAGTGGTTGAAGACAGATTCAAGATATACATGTTAAAAAGTCATGGATTGCGCTCACAAGCCGTAACCCCTGTTCTGGTACACTCTTCCCTTAACACATCACAGCCACAGCTTTTCAGGTGTTTATTTAAAAGCCATAGTACTCATATTCAGATTTCAGAACACCATCCCAGATACCAGATAAAGACAGTCTCAATTACTGTTGGATTAATACCTGAATAGATGATTCAAAGATTGATTTGTGGGGGAAGAAAGACCCATGAAAAACATCTAGCTGGATAAAAAACAGATTCTTAATAAATAAATCCCAGGTCTCAAAACATGGTCGTGAAATTTGTAGTTAAAGTGAAGGGTGGGTACATACCCATTAGCACTTGTTCCGTGGGTCTGCTATATGTTTAATAAGCCAATGGATTAGGTCAGGGCATCAGGGTGAAGCCAAATCATTTTTATTTTTCTTGTTGTGATAGAAAACAAATAAATTTGGTAGAGCAAAGACATTCTGTTCCTTTTGCTCATACTAGAGGGAACAGAAATGGCACAGGCCTTTTAAAATCTTCTCTAGTCCTCATAACATTTACTGCTGATTGTGAATGGAACTTCACAAGCCACAATGACAATATAGGAGATCTATGTAAATATCAAATGAATCAAAAATTAATTAAAAAGTATCTTGGGCATGAAATAATTTCATGTAGGGCTTTAAAAAAATCCAGTTTCTAGCCCAGGAGTTATGACTTTCTCCCAGGCACTTGTATGCTAACAATCAAGATTCTAAACTGGTTAGAATAATGCAGTGATAACAGAAAGCTGAGTTGCACCTTTTTTTTTTTTTTTTAAGATTCAGGAGCAGTGATCAATGCTGCAAGCTTTGAAAGCCTGCGGTTTTGCTCATCACGGTGGAAATGGAGTCAGGCAGTTGTGTTTGGTAAATATAGTATTTTATAAAACTAGTAAAGTGAAATTTCCAGAATTTTTTTTATAACACATACAAGAATTCATTCTATATGTTGACATTTAAAATGACTTTGTTGAAGTCTTGACATCAGCTCAAATAAAAAGGGAAAGCCTTTTGTGAAAGCGAATGTATGCATTTCTCAGTCACAAAAACCTACACACAAAAAGGTCAGGTTGATTTAAAGTATTGTGCACTGTTTATGATTGTATTTATAAAAGCCCTGTTTTCAAATGTTGATTTATATAGCTGGTTTGTCACTGAAGTCTGCACTTCCACACATTGCTGCATTTAGGCAGAATGCCAAATGCATAGCACCAGGAGGAATTAATGACAACATTTCAGCAGAGCTAGTGCAGTACAGTAGGTGAATGCTAATGCCCAACAACAAGAGAAACAAAAACACAAAGACACTTCCTTTTCAATAACCTTTTTTCCCCTAAGGAAACATGACTAAAGGCAACTAACTGTTCCTTAGCAACATCATGAGATACAGAAGCTGAAGTTAAAAAGCAGCCTGCAAGATTTTGCTTCTT